CCAGTCCCCGGCTGAATGGTGAACCTCAGGAGTGACTTCACCACAGAGCTAAAAGGGTGTCTGGGGGCCATACTCTCGGGGTTTCTCCAGTCTGTCATGCCAGTAAATCTGGTCTCTTGTTGTGAGTTAGAATTTTGTTCTACATCCTTCTCCAGCTCCGTCCAGGACCCTCTGTTGTGATCCCGGTCCGAGCAGTCAGTGGTGGTAGCTGGGCACCATCTAGCTGTACTGGACTCAGTCTGGTGGAGGCCATGGTAGCTGTGGACAATTAGTCCTTTGGTCTAATCTTTTCCTTGTATCCTGTTTACACACCGCATTTAAAGCATTCAAAATTAAAAAAAAGAAAAAACCTTAACCAATGTGCATTCAGAATAAAACACTTCTGAGGGATGGATTTGGCCATGGGCTGGCAGTTTGTATCTCCAAAAAATGACACAGTTTACCACCTCTAAATGAGTCCAGCTTTCTGCCTTCCCTCCTCCTTTTATCAGAGGACTAGGTGTGATTCTGCCATCAATATGAGGGGGATAGGTTCCTGACACCCAAGAGTGACGGGAAAATTTTGTATTCATTGCCTTGGGCGTTTGCCTGGATTACCACATCTTTGTTGCTGAAGAAGTCTAAAAAGTGGCCTTCTTTTTTTTTCTTTGCCCTGTCTTGCTCCTTCTGTGGTCTGGGGCAGGACTTGTGATGGATTTTCAGAGATCCCTGTGAGTCAAGGAAGCACATTAGTTTTTTTTTTAAATAATATTTTATTGTGTTTAAGGTGAAAGTTTACTCAGAAAATTAGGTTCCCATTTAACAATTTCTACACAAATTATTTTCAGTGATATTGCTTACATTTTTCACACTGTGTCGTCATTCTCATCCATTTGGTATGGGTTTTACCGTTTAGGAAGCACATTCTGAGGACAGACCCATGTACCTGGGCTTTGTTTTTAGAGGACTTGGTGGAGGAGGCAATTTTACCTTACAAGGATGACTTAAAATGTAATTCCTCTCACTTTGAAGTTGGCTGGGCGACTTAATTTGACCACCTTAGTATGCCTTCTAGATGTGTCAGCTTTACTGACATCCTCCCGCTTTGTTTTTTCTTTTAAAGAGGAAAACTAAGAGTTTTGTTTTGCCAGCGAAGGTTGGGTTCTGGGCGCTCTGTCTCAGCTCTCTGGCAGCTTGGAATGGCCCTGTTGCAGATTCAGTCTGACACCAGGTCTTTTGCTATTAGAATCAGTGCTGCAGTTAATAAGCTTGTATATGCACTCTGCATCATTTAGCATGTGTGCTAATGTATCTGTAGATTCCCGCAGTGAAATTGCTGCATCAGAGGATACACGCATTTGTAATTTTGATGGCTATGCCAGATTGCTCTCTCTAGAGTTGTTAACGATTTACCCACTAATCAGTAATGCCTGTTTCCTCACAGCACCACTTACAGAATTTTTATCATACTTGTGATGGTTAAGATTGTGTGTCAGCTTGGCTGGGCCATGATTCTCAATGTTTGTATGTGATCGCCCCCATGATGGGATCTGCTGTGAGTAGCCAATCAGTTGAAAGGGAGTTTCCTTGGGCATGTGGCCTGCATCCAATATAAGCGGACATTCTGGCTTTTGCCCGCTCTGGATTCTGCAGCTGGTTCCTGTTCATCTGATCTCTGGTTTTTGGGACTTGAGCTAGTAGCTTACCTGCTGATCTTGGGTTTGCCAGCCCCTGCGGCTGTGTGAATCAGGAGAAGGCACTATGCTGATCCATGGACTTGGGACGTTCCAGCCTCTACAGTCGCGTTAGCTGTTTCCTTAATATAAATCTCTCTATGTATATTTATACGTTTTACTGGTTTTACTTCTCTAGAGAACCCAGCCTAAGACAGTACTTTTGGATTTTTACCTTTTTGGTAAATGAAAAATGGGATTGCAGTGAAGTTTTCATTTCTGTTTTTCTTATTTTGAGTGAGTTTGTGCATCTTCCCTTATGGTTGAGGCATTGGTATTTCCTTTTCTGTGAAATGCCTTTTCATATCCTTTCTTTCTTTTACTGATTTTTTACTTGATAACTTCTAGGAGCTCTTTATATATTAAGAAGCTTTCCCTTTGTGATTTGAGCTACAAATATTTTTCCTGGCTTTTTTCTTCTCTTTCTTTTTTTTTTTTTTTTAACTTTTGGTGTATTTTGCCATGAGGAGTCCTGATTTTTATGTTGTTGAATTTATCAATCTTTCTTTTATTTCTTTTATGACTTTCGGCAGTTATGTCATCCTGGCCCACTACTGATGGCACAGAATCATTCATTTATCTTTCCATGGTGCCTCCTTCCTCTTTTCCTCCTTCAGACTTTGCTTGACAACCAAAAAAGCTTTTGGTACCTTCCTCCAAGTCTGCATCCCTGGACTGTATTCCTTATCAGTGATAGGATTGCCTTTGATAATTGTGTTAGGAGATTTTAGTGGCCTGAAAAATCCCCATTTTTTTGGTACAGGCACTCTGGAAAACAGTTTAGCAGTTTCTTATATACCTAACATGCAGTTATCATATGTGATGCAGCAGTTGCACTCTTGGACATTTAGTTCACAGAGAAATGGAGACTTATGTTTACACAAAAACTTGTCTATGACAGTTCATAACAACGTTGTTTGTAATAGCCAAAAATTGGAAAAAACAAAACAGATGTCCTTCAACAGGTGAATGGTTAAACCGTGGTGCATAAATACCATGGACTACTACTCAGAAATAAAAAGGAACAAACTATTGATACATGCTACAACTTAGATGAATCTCTGGGCTATTATATTGGGTGAAAAAACCCAGTCCCAAAAGGTACGATTCCATTTATATAACATGTTTGAAATAACAAAATTTTAGAAATGGCAAACAAATTAGTGGCTGCCAGGGGTTAGGAATGAGGAAGGGCATGGTAGAGAGGCAGGTGTGCTTCTAAATGAGCAGCACGAGGCCTTTGTGGTGATGGAACTTTCAGTGTCTGACTATGGTGGTGGATACATGAACCTACACGTGAAGCAATTGACTAGAACTGAATCCACACACACATGGGTACAAGTAGAACCAGGAAACTGAGAAATCTGAGTGAGACCAGTGGACTGTATCAGTGTCAATATCCTGGTTGTGATACTGGACCGTAGTTTTTGTAAGATATTACCGATTGTGGGGAACTGGGTAAATCATTTCTTATGACTTGCATGTTAATCTACATGATCTCAGTAAAAATTTCAATGAAAAAATCCCCATTTCCGCAAATACCAGACTCACCGAAAGATACTGGTTGGAGGCAGGTTTGGTTGGATGACTGGTGCTCTCCTGCATTGGGATCAGCAGTGGAACAGCTGACAGATGTAGTGGCAGTGGACTGGGGGAGAGCAGAGCAGTGCCTCATGTTCCAACCCTGCATTCTTCTCTGTCAGGCCACATGGAGATCTGAGCGCACTGGCCAGCATTTCCTAGGATTCTCTGGGACAGCCCAACTGGATAGTCCATCATACAGCCTGTTTTAGGGAGAAGAAACACTGGCTTAAGCTCCAGTATCAGACCCAGTGAGAGGCTGACAGTGGTGGTTGGGGAGCAGGAGTGAGGAAGACCAGTTTTCACGTGAATGGGTCCATCCTGATCATGCCCAGAAGGCACCCCATTGTCATACTCATTTCCATGCACCTTGTGTTGTATCTTTGGCTCTGGAATGAGACAGAGCATGGCCTAACATAGTGGTTCCCAGAGTGTGGTGGGGACACCTGCTAGGGAGTCTTTGAGGTCAAAACTGTTTTCATAGTAATACTTAGACATCATTTTCAAATACTCTCGTTCTTTTACAAGTGTACAGTGGAGTTTACCAGAGGTCACATGACATGTGAAATAGCCACAGATTAAATGCAGAAACAGATATGAGAATCTACCTCTTTTCTGTTAAGCCATATATTAAGAAAACTTATAGAAAATATAAACAAATGCCACTCTTTTCACTTTTTTGTTTTAGAAAATACAGCCATTTTCCTTAAAATATATTTTTATGCAAACATATAATGGGTTTATTATTGTTATTTTAAATGATTTAATGCATATTTTAAAAATTTCTCAAGTTATTTGTAAGAAGTGAATAATGATAGATAAAACTACAGAAACAAAAGCTCTTGGGGGACGTCCTCAGCAAGTTTTGAAAGTGGTAAAGCGGTCCTGACGCAAGTTTGAAAACTGTTGGCTTGGCTGAAGGCACTTGACCAAAAGTCAGTAGTCTTGAGTTTTAGTCAGGGTTTTGCTGTGAGACCTCGGGCAAGTCATTTAGCCTCTTTACTTGACTTCTTCCTCTGTAGATACTAATAATTATCCTGTTCTACATATCTTAAAGAAAAGCAAGATAATTTTATGTGAAAGGACTTGAAAATACAATGTCTTATGCAAATATAAGGGAGTTTAATCGTTGTACAACTAAACTGATGTTGAAAGAAAATGTAAGGAATGAGAGTTTCTGGTGTGTTAGTCTATTTACTTTTTAGATTTTTTTCATTTCAGCATATCTTCCTAGCAGTTCCCTTGTACAGTTTATTACTTCCGTTTTACTTTTTAAGGTAACCATTTTATTTATTAGAAGAAATTAAGTAAATACATCTTCCAAAGTTTTCAATATAGAAGGGATTTATATTCCAGATGCCTTGAAATAGTGTCACATCAAAGATAAGTCAGGAATGCTGTCTTGGTGAAACCACTTTCTAGCTTTGTGACTTTGGGAAAACTACTTAGCCTCTCTGTGTCTTGGCTTCCTCGTTTGTAAAATGGGGCTGATAACACCTTACTTTCCAGGGCAGCTAGGAGTATGACAACTAAGGCACAGGAAGTTCTCTGCCAAGTGCTTCGCACATAATAGATGCTCGATAAATGATCATTGCTCTGATTGTCGTTAACATATAACGAAAGTGAACTTACTCAACTACTCGATGCACAAGTTTATTAGCAGTAATTTCCATTTCGTCTGATTTATTCCTTTCTTCTGCTTTGAAGGGCTGTTGAGTGGTCAGACATCCCCAACAAATACCAAATTGGAGAAACTGGATTCTCAGCAGGTGTTGCAGCTCTGCCTTCGATACCAGGACCACCTGCATCAGTGTGCGGAGGCTGTTGCTTTTGACCAGAATGCTTTGGTTAAGCGAATCAGAGAGGTAACATACTGTGGGGAAGTAACGTTGCTGACTCATGACTGTGGTTCTCTGTGCCTCCTGAGTCTGTTTCTGCTGGGCAGTACCGCCAGCCATCCCAGCTTTATGGGAAGCGGTTATTTTGTAACTAAGACTAGATATGTGTCTGCACTGTTTGGGGAAGATTGTGTTTCCTAGCAGTAAAATGTACTAGTGAAAAAAGTGGTTCCCAGAGTAGACTGATCTGGAGTTTAAATCCTGCTTCTCCACTTATATGCTTGGGCAGGTTACTTAATTTCTCTTGGTCTCAGCTTCCTCACCTGAAAAAATGAGGCTAATAATAGTGTGACCTACCTCAAGGGTTGAGTGAAGATTAAATCACTCACTAAATGGGAGCTATTAGTAGTGTGTGTAAAGTCCTGCCATACTAATTTGCTCTAGCTAACATTATGTCTTAGAATTGGCTTTTTCTGTTTCTGTGTATAATTTATATTTTGTTCTTCAGTTAGGTTATCAGTTCTTTGAGAGTGGGAGCCTTGACGTCTCCCTCGATTATATTCTTCACTGTTGTTAGCACATGAAACGCTCAGTGATTCTTATTGATCGGATGGGATTGATTATATTTACTTACTACACAAGGTTTTCGTGAGGAAAGAAGCAAGAGAACTCATGTGAGAGTACTTATAAACTGTAGCACATGGTACAATGCTGTGTTAATTATCAACAGCAGTAAGTAGGTACTTGTTAAGCATTTAAATGTACCATTGACCAGGGCTGCTACATGGCACAGCTCGTGAGGCACCATCCACATTGTATTCTGTGTGAATGGAGTGGTTTAACCACATGCCTTGGCCCTGGTCATTGACTCAGGTGAGAGAAGAAAATGGAGATGGGGGGTCACACAAGTAAAGGACTGAGAATCACTGCAAATTCGTGATCAATTAGTAGTAAAAAGTACAAAGTACTCATTAGTTATATTGACAGATTTAAATCTGCTGAGAGCTCCAACACTTTAGTACTTATCTTCCATAAAATATTGTATGCATATACTCGTCTCTCATGGATTAAATATTATTATTTGGAAGACTGTTAAATATGAGTTTTCATATTGCTTGGCATTGATGTGGCCTTTCAACTCTTATACATGTATTTTATTACATTAGTTATACATTGATGTTACGTGTTAATTTTATACATTAATTAAAGCTCCACGGAGCTTTACTTCCCAAACATGACTGCGTCAGAGCACTCGGGGTTTTGTTTGTTTAAGTACAGCATTCACCTGTTCTCCCAGTATGTCCAGGATGTGGTCTGTGAATCATTATTTTAATAAGCTCCCCAAATGATACTGATGCCACCTTCCGTCAACTAGGATTTGGGAACCACTGATCGAAAGCACTATTTTCCAGAATAAATTCTACAGAACTGTTGTGGTTGTTGTTGGGCGCTATCGAGTCGATTCCAACTCCTGGCGACCCCATGTGACAGAGTAGAACTTCCCCATGGTTTTCTGGGCAGTAATCTTTACAGAAGCAGATTGTCAGGTCTTTCTCTCCAGGGCCACTGGATGGGGTCAAACCTCTGTCCTTTCAGTTAGCAGCCAAACACTTAACTGTTTGGACCACCAGGGCTCCTTTCTACAAAACTAGTCCTGTGTAAAGAAGATCAAACGTTTGCATATTCCATTACCCCTTGGAGAGTCCTTCTGCATATTGTCATATTAAAATTCCTGAGGGATTTACAGTAAAGAAAACCAGCACTTTTCAAACTTATTTGACCTCAAATCCTTCACCTTAAGTAACATCTATTAACATCTCATGGAAGTAGTATTTTTTAGAACATTGTTCGGGAAATGCTATTGTAGACATAAGACTGTGCCATTTTTTACTATTGTGCTGGAATACAACTGTGACATTAACTCAGGCAGTTTTAGAATAATTGACCTTTTGATACTTCTTGTCTTTTTAGAAGGTCCTCTAATCCATATCTGTCATTTGCAGTTTAGGAAAAGGTGGTACAGAGAGATTAAGTGACCAGCTCAGTGTTAAAGAGCTAGGTAAAGTGTTTTGTAGCTGGTAGTACCAGACAGCCCTCATATACCACATTTTCAAACTCCAGAGAAGTAGTTCTTGACCCTGGTTTCATGTTAGGCTTACCTGGGAGATTTGTTTCTCCAATATTTCACACATACACTGAAGTAGAGAGACAAATACGGTTAATCTTCACATACTCATTACTTAGCTGCTACAGTCATCAGCTTGTGAACACTTTTGTTTTATCCATACCCTCCTGCTCACTCGCTGCTGCCCCCTAACCGACTTAATCTTTAGCAAATCCCAGATGTAGCATTTCATTCATGAATATTTCAGTATGTGATTTTGAAAGTAAAGGACTCTTTTTAAAAAAAAAATTTTTTAATTTGAATTCATTTTAAATTTAGGGAAAAATTACAATAATTCACAGAGTTCCTGTATATCCAGTGTCTTAGGCTGGGTTCTCTAGAGAAGCAAAACAGTGAAGTATATATATATAGAGAGAGAGAGAAAAAAAAAGATTTATCCCAAGGAAATGGCTCATGTGGTTGTAGACGCTGGCGAGTCCCAAGTCCATGGGTCAGGCATCAGGCTGGAGGCTTCTTCTGACTCACGTAGCTCCAGGGGCTGATGAACCCAAGATCACCAGGTCAGATGGCAGGCTGCTGGCTCACAGGCTGTGGAGGCCGATGAGTCCCAAGATCAGCAGGTAAGATGACAGGCTGCTGGCTCAAGTCCCAAGTACTGGAGGTCAGATGATGAGCCGGATACAGGATCCAGGGTGAGAGCCTTGCTGGAACATCCATTTATATACTGGAGGCAGGCCACACCCCCAAGGAACTCCCTTTCAATTGATTGGCTGCTCATAACAGATCTCATCATGGAATTGATTACCTCATTACATAACTGCCAAATTACATCGTAACTGCCAAACCACTGAGAATCATGGCCCAGCCAAGTTGACACACAACCTTAATTCATCACACCCCTCACCCAGCTTCCCCTGAAGTTAACATCTTACATAACCTTAGTACAATGATCAAAACCAGAAAATTAACATTGGTACAGTACTCTAAACTAAGACCTTATTTGAATTCCACCAGTTATTCCACTGAACAACCACAATGCTGTTGTCGTACTTAAAATATTTAACAGTGATACTTCATTAAGTATAGCTGAGATGCTTTTAAGAAAATACTGATGCCGAGGTCTCACGCCAAACCAGTTAGATCAAAATCATTCAACGGGTGGGAAGAGGGTGGTAGAAGCTGGGCACAGGTGTTTATGAAAATGTCGTAGACGATTCTAATATGTAGCCAAGGTTGAGAACCAGTGTTCTGGGGCATTCATTTTAAAAAAATTCAACTGATTCTGAAATTCTGTTTCGGGAACTTTGAGATTCATTTTGAATAGTCAGTAGTTATCCAGGATTATTGCAAAATAGAGAACAGTACTCACAGTTCTGAGCAACGCCTCGGTAGCTTTCTTAGGTCAGAGGAGGTGAACACTGTTTTAGGGTTTTCATTGGTGATTTAATGTCTCCGTTGTTAACTGTTAGCAAACTCGTGAAACGTACACATCCATCTGTGTTCACTTCAAACCTCAGGGTTGGAATTAGTCACTTCCAAATGAATAAATCAGAGGATGTAGTTTTGATCAAACACAAACTCTCTGATATTATTCCAGATGTTTCCTGGAAATTTGGTTAGAGTGTGAGGAAGTAACATAATGCTATATGTGTTGAAAAGCAGGGGAACTTAACCATGGAGAATATGTATTAATGGAAGTGTAGAAATGGATAAATCAAAGTCACATAAAGTTATAGTGCCTTTGATCCCTTAAGTTTGGATCAAAAGGAAACATGGCTATAACCATTTCTGGCTCATATAAAAGAACATTAAGGAGTTAGCTAAGCTTTCCTGTTGTTAAATTTGGATGCTGCTCTTGAATGAAGTTTATTTTTTACAAATTTGTATATGTCAGAGGGGAGAAGAAGAATGTAGATAGCTTCCTTCATAATCAATGTGTCTTATAATGTGCATTGACCATTAGTTTCCTTAGTAGATGTAAGACGACCCCTTAGTCAACCACCGAGCATTGCTGAGCAACTATTGAAGACCTGCTTGGTGTGTGAGATCCTCTGGGGGTTACAGAGAAAAGTGACACAGCTGCTCTCTGAGAGTTTAATCTAGACAAAGGATCGAAGATACAGTACAGGCAGTACAGATGGAGAATACCCAATTGTGGTTTATAACTGTAGTTCTGTAAGAATTAAAGACCAGGATATCCTGGAAAAGGTGAGGTTTAAGCTCAGTCTTAAAGGAAAATCAAGATTTGGGAAATGGAGAGAAGGAGGGGAGCATTGCTAGTTACAGAATCAGCTTGGCAGACAGTCTTGGAAGAAAATTAACATTGGGGCTTCCAGATACAATGAGGAAACTAGCTTGACTTTTAGTAAACTTGTTCAGAAAAGTCTTCTCTGCACGAGGAACCATAGAATGAATGTTGGAGTTGGAAGGATCTTAGAGAACCTCGTCCAGTGCCCTCGTTATTTAGATGCAGAAAATGAAGCCTAGTAGAGAGAGTAAGGGATTTGCCCGGGGTCACAAAATGAGATAGTGGCTGGAATTATGGTATTAAAAGTGGATAAAGATCAAAGTAGTTTTTTTTTTTTTTTGCAGATGGCACGATTGAACGTGTTTACTTACAGGTTGAGGGGGAAGGGCCAGGAGAGAAGAGATAGAAGATAAAGGAAAGAAAAAGGATTGTGAGAATGAGGTTCCGGAGAAGGAGAGAGCGTGGGATTTGTTTTGAGAGAACAAAGAGGGTGCAGGCACATTTATAAGAGGATACGCCCTTGATCTGTCACACGTGAGGGGACCATGTATTCTCTAGGAAGAAGAGGGGAGATCATCTGTTGAGAGTGGCCGTGGTGATTGGGTAGTACTACAGTTGTGAGCACTGTGAGTCATTAAGGATGCAGCAGAGGTA